GAGACAGGGTTTCACTATGCAGTTCAGGCTGTCCTTAAACTCACTTTGTAGCCCAGGCTGGCCTTGAACTCAGTGATCCTCCTGCCTCAGCCACCAAAGTGCTAGCATTACAGTCGTGCACCACCATGCCTGGCTAAATCAGTTTATTATAAATATATCTAAACCATTAATTCTTGCAGTTTTCAGGTAAAGTCCAGCACTTTGTTTATATAAAATCTATGAGAAGAGGTCATCTAATTCATTAGAGATCATCTAATTCATCCATTCAAGCCCCTGGCATAATCCTTCGCCAGTAAGAGCACAGCATGCCTGGATATGCCACTGGTGATCTTTAATAGAAGTGAGCTTTAAGAACTGGAAGATTTCTGCTACAGTCATGCATTCTTTATCATCCTGCTTATTAGCAAAAATCAGCAGTCCAGCTTTCCTTAGGTCCTCATGAGCCAACATTTTGTAGACTTCTCTAGTTACAGAAATCTTCTCTATGTGTATACTGTCCACAATAACAATTACACACTCTGTATTAGTATAGCAAGTGCTCCAGGAAGCGCGAAGAGATTCTCGGCCACCAATATCCCATACCAGGAAACGAGTATTTTAGTCGCTATCTCCTCTGCATTACTTCCTATTGTAGAGGATGTACGTACAACTTCATTCATAGAAAACTGGTAAAGGATGGTAGTTTTCCCTGCGTTATCCATCCCAAAGGTGATAAACTGTTCCTGGTGATTGAACATTCTCCATATCCCGGTGAGGACAACTCCCATTCTTGACCAGTGAAGCTCTTCCAGCCAGGTGGAGCCTGGACCCAGCTAGTGGAGCTGCACAGGGCATCATCCTCCCCTAGTTGATTTTTTCTTTTTTGTTTGTTTTTGAGACAGAGTCTTCATATGTAGTTCATGTTGGCCTTAGGAACTGGGGCAGAGGGAGAGATCTTTCTGCCGCAGCCTCCAGTGCGCTATTAACTTGTTTATTGTTTGTGTCATGCTGGGGATCGAACCCAGCGCCTTATGAATGCAAGGCAAGAACTCTACCACTGAGCCACATCCCCAGCCCTCCATCTGGGTTTCTGTTTTCCCTTCCATACTCATGATTGAACCCAGGGCTTCACATTGAGTTTCATCCCCAGCTCTTATTTCATTTTAATTTTTATTTTCCGACAGGGTCTAAGTCACCCAGTTGCCCAGGCGGAGCTCAAATTTGCAGTCTTCCTTCTTCTTGTGCATGTTGCTATGGCAGGCCATCCTTTTATTATTTTTTCCCCCCTTCCTTCACACTAGTAAAAGTTTTGAGGGAGTTTAACGTTTTGTAAACATTTTAGCTATCCTACTTCCTCACTGGGCACTTTTGAATTTACAGAGCAGAGGAATCCTAAATTTATTTAGGTTTTGTTTTGTTTTGTTTTTGTCTTTTTGAGACAGGGTCTTGCTGTGCAGTTCTGGCTGGCCTTGAGCTCACTTTGTAGCCCAGGCTGGCCTCGAACTCGAAATGATCCTCCTGCCTCAGCCTCCCGAGTGCTGGGATTACAGGTGTGCACCACCACAGCTGGTATTATTTTTTATTAAATTTTGCTCAATAGAAGGTAAGCCCCTTGAGGGTAGGCCTTTGCTTACTGGCTTTTTTTTTTTTCTTCTTCTTTTTTATCTTTTTTGAGACAGGGTATCTCTATGCAGTTTAGGCTGGCTTTGAACTCGCTCCGTAACTTGCAACGATCCTCCTGCCTCAGCTCCTGAGTGCTGGGTTATAGGCATTATAGGCATACACCACCCCCTACTTACTGTTTCTACCACTTGATTTCCCCACACCTCCACAGCTGGACTCTCAGCAGAGCTCCATAAACATTTGGAGAGCTGAACAGCGTCACAAACGATCGCGTGAACATGCTGATACTGTACATTCTTTTGGTAAAATCGCTCGACTTCCTACTCAAAGGACTGGGTACTAATGCGATTTTGAGGCTCAGGAGGACCACGTGGTCCCAAATTCCAAGGGGTAAGTTCTGCGCAGGCGCGGCCCCACCTCCCGCGCAGGCGCAGACGGGGCCTCCGCGCGCAGCCAGCGGCGGTTGGCAGCGCGCGACCCGGCAGGCTGTTGGCTTGGGGACGTGCGAGTGGCGGCAGCGAGAACTGGCGCCATGGTGGAGAAGGAGGAGGCCGGTGGCGGCATCAGCGAGGAGGAGGCGGCACAGTATGACCGGCAGATCCGCCTGTGGGGATTGGAGGCTCAGAAACGGTCAGGGCCGGTGTGGCGCGAGGCGTCTGGGCTCTTGAGGGGGGCGGTGGTCGGAGGCGTCCCGGCGCTTCAGAGGGCGGGAGGCCCGATTTGAAGAGCGGAGGCGGACTTCCGCGCCTGGCTCTCTTGAGGCGGCTGGAGGGTTGACTGCGCGTGTTTCCGGGGGCTGTGAAAGGTGGGACGTCGCGGGTGGAGTGGGGGGGCGGAGGCCCCGAGCAGGGTGTGGGGGTCTGGAGAGCGCCGAGCGGCTCCGGAAGCCGTGGGGGCGGGGCCGGGCGGGCCGAGGGCGTGCTGTCGGGGTCGGGGTCGGGGCGCCGCGGTTCATTCATTTCGCGGGGGGGGGAGCGGAGGTGTCCATCCGCCGAACCGACGCGGGCTCGGCGTGTTGGCGGCTCCTGGGGGGCGGCCCAGGGTGAGAGAACGCGGATTTTGAGGATTGGAGAGGCCGGGAGAGTCTGAGGGGGCTGCAGGTAGCAAAAGAGGATCCTGGTGCCGAGGTTTGAGGTGTGTCCAGAGCCCACGGGAGACGCCCCTTGGGTGTTGAGTGCGGTTAACCTGGGGGATGAGATCTCAGAAGTGTGATTGATTCCGTTTTTGGGGTTCTAGGGGTTCCTGCTTGCTACGTAAGCATTCTGCCAACCGCTGACCAATAGCCCCAGCCCTGTTTCTTTATTTATTTTTGCTACCGAGAATCAAACCCAGGTCCTTGAGCTTGTCCGGCAGGCGCTTGTGCAGCTGAGCTGTGTCCCCAGCCCCCTCTTTATTTATTTATTTACTTATTAAAAAAAAAATTAAAGCCCGACCAGACTGTTATTGCCCAGGGTGGGCAGGAACTTGCGATCGTCCTGGCTCATCCTTCTGAGTAGCTGGAGTTACAGGCGTGTGCCCCTGTATCTGGCTCAGTCGTGTATTTCTTGAGCAGTGTTTGCAGGCTCTGAGCATGAATCAGAGTACTAGACAGCCTCTTTCCCCACATGGAGCATACTTTCTGACGTGGGCAGACAGTAAGCTTGAAAAAACAGGTCATGCTGTTGCGAGGGAAAAAAATAAAACTAGGAATCGATCAGTAATGAGTAAAAGATTATGAAGGTGGAGAACTGTTTTCATAGCGTGGCTAGGGAAGGCCTCTGAGGAGGTGATGTTGAGCCTCTGCTTTGTCCAGGAAAAAGCCATCCAGCCACCTGGAAGAACTTTCTAGCACAGGGAACAGCAACTACAAAAGCCCTGAGGCCTGAGCTGCTTGGAAGATTGAAGAACTAGGGCGGCTGGAGCTGAATGAGTTAAGGAATAGCTTTTATTCTAACTGCTGGGAAATCTGTTGGAGTGTTGTTGTTTTCTTTTTTCTCCTTTTTTGAGACAGGGTCTGGCTAGGCAGTTCAGACTGGCCTTGAGCTCACTTTGTAGCCCAGGCTGGTCTCGAACTCACAACGATCCTCCTGCCTCAGCCTACCGAGTGCAGGGATTACAGGCGTGCACCACAACGCCCGGCTCTGTTAGAGTGTTTGAGTGTGGGAATAATACTATCTGATTTGTACTTTGAAAGGATGATTGTGTGTGGCGAAAAAGGAACAGTGAGCAGAAGTGCATTTAAAGATTCTGGTCAACTGTTGAGGTCATAAATTTGAGACAAAAACAGTGGTGTTTGATGAGCAAGGTGCTGCATATGCCTGTAATCCCAGTAATTTGGGAGGCTGAGGTAGGAAGGTCACCATGAGTTCAGGGCCAGCCTAGGCTACAGTGAGTTCAAGATCACCCTGGACTACCCATAAGAGAACCCATCTCAACAAAAGGAGACAAGTTCTTGTGTCTGTTTCACCTTCCAGCTATTTAGAGAAGGAAGGACAGTGACTTCATTCCCTGTATAGACAAGGTAGGAGGCTTTTGTCCTTGGCCTCTCAGGGGACTTCAGGTAGAACAGAAGAACTCTGGAAGCTGGGGCTCCTTTGTGAAATGGAAGGGCTGAAAATTGGGAGACTGATAAGACGGAGAGGGTGGTGGATATTATATGAGGCAGCTGTCCCAAAAATCAATGTCATGTAAAAAAGGGGGATATTGTAGATTAAAAACAAGTAGAAATGTGATAGCGGCATGTAACACATGAACCACGCTGGATCCTGGTTCAAAAATAATTTATGCCAAGCATGATGGCACATACCTGTAATCCCTCAGTCTCCCAAGTGCTGGGATTATGGGTGTGCACCACCATACCTGGCCATTTTTTTTGTTTTTCTGAGACAGGATCTTGCACTCTAGTGCAGGCTGGCCTTGAACTCATTATATAGCCCAGACTGCAAACTTGTGGCAGTCCTCCTGTCTCAGCCTCCCAGTACTGGGATTACAAGTGTATGGGGCAACATTTTTTTTTTTTTTTTAAATTAAGCAACGGAGCTAGGGATTAAACTAGGGCCTTGAGCACATGGTAAGTGTGCTCTCTATCTCTGAGCTACCTCCCTGTTTTGAGAGAAGGTTTTGCTAAATTGCCTCTTGCCTCAGTGTCCTGAGGAGCTAGTATTATAGGTGTGGACCACCAAATCCAGCTGAAATGTTTTATAAGAGAGGTTGGAAGATGGAGACAGTACTGGATGACTTTAAATGTCACCTTTACTTTTTTTTCTTGTTAGATTTTTGTTTTCTTAAATGCAGATTCAAACCCTTTACTGGACTCTTATTGATTGGTTGGTTGGTTGGTTTTTATGAGACAGAGTCTTGCTATGTAGCGCAGGTTCCCCTTGAGCTTGTGGCTGTCCTCTTGCTTCAGCCTCCTGAGTGCTGGGATTACAGACATGTGGCACTATGGGCCCTTTTATAATCAAGGCAATGGAGATTGAAAATTTCAGTGAATTGACATTCAGGAAACCTACATAATATTTATTGAGATCTGTTATAGGCCTGGTATTATGCTGGAAGTGTTTACACATTTTACCAAGTCAAAGGAAAGTTTTGTGGCTTTTTTTGGTATTGGAAATTGAACTCACCCTGGTGCTTGCCAGGCAGGTGCTGTGTGTCCCTGAGATATATCCCCAGCCCTGTCAAAGGCATTAAATGATATGAACTCAGAATTAGTATCCTTATCTTACAGATGAATAAACGGAAGTTTAGAGTGATTGTGTAGCTTTACCTGTCACCTTGTGGAGAAGTGGCAGGGTTCGGAATTCAAACCCAAGTTTTCATACTCAGGAGGCATTAATGCTTAGCAGTGGCTGTTTTTAGCTGTTTTTTTGTTTTGTTTTGTTTTGTTTTGGTACTGGGAATTGAACTCAGGACCTTACGCTTGCCAGGCAGGCACTTACGCTACTGAGCTGTATCCCCGGCCCTTGTTGCTAAAGGAACATCAGGGAGATCAGAGCTTGAGCAAAAGTTAATGGGTTTGGAGATTAGGAGGCCTTTGATAATTTTGAAGATATTTTCAGATTCCCAGAGGAGAGCTAGGCTACTGAAAGAGAACTTTGGAGCTGCAACTTGTGGTTGGTTGCAAGATCAGCTGAAAGGAGGGGTGATAGAAAACAGTGACAGCAAGGACCTGGGGTGGTCAGCTAAATGCAGAGGTGCTCAACCTTTCTTTCTTCCTTTTTCTTTCTTTTTTTTTTTTTTTTTTTTTTTTTTTTTTGTCTTTTTTGAGACAGGTTCTCGCTGTGGAGTTCAGACTGGCCTTGAGCTCACTTTGTAGCCCAGGCTGGTCTCCAACTTGCGAGGATCCTTCTGCCTCAGTCTCCTGAGTGCTGGGATTACAGGTGTGTGCCACCACACCTGGCTCAACTTTTCTACAGTCATAGATCTGACATGTGTATTATATTCTCTTTGGAAACATCGTTACATGCTGATTTGTAAGCCATTGGGGGGGGTTCTGGAAAGTTGCATAACTTTCCTTCTTTTTTCCATTCACTGTGTAGTAAAAGAAACCACCAACAATATATGTGCTGCCAGTGAGCACAAATCACCAACAGAATAAAGACTCAACCCACAGAGTGGGGAAAAATTTTTTGCCAGGTGTTCCTCAAAGGACTAATATCTAGAATATATAAAGAACTCAAAAACTCGTGTCACCCCAATTTTGTTTTTTTGTGGTTAAGTAGGAAAATTTATTGGAGAATAGGAATGGGGAATAAGAATAGCTCCTTGAAAAAAAAAGAACAGCTCCTGAAAGACAGGAGGGGTCCCGAATGGATGAGTTGCCCACCCCTTTTTTTTTAAAGACATAGTTCTACTACATAGTTCAGGCTGGCCTTGAACTCACTATGTAGCCCAGGCTGGCCTCAAACTAGAGTAATCCTCCTGTCTCCTGCATACTGCCTAGGCTTAAAGACCCAGTCCAGAAATGGGCATCTGAAATGAACACACACTTCTCAGATGAAAAAGTAGAAATGGCAAATATAGGAAAAAATGTTCAACATCACTGCTCAGTTGAGAGATGCAAATTAAAACAATGCTGACATTCCATCTCACCCCAGAAAAAGTGGCTATTATCAAGAAATCAACCAATAAGAAATGCTGATGGGGTTGTGAGGAAAAGGAACCCTTCTCCACAGTTGGTGGGAGTGTAGAGTGGTGCAACCGCTGTGAAAATCAGTGTGGAAATTCCTCAAAAAACTAAAACTAGAGGTTCTATTTGACTTAGCTATTCCTCTTCTTGGTATCTTCCTGAAAGAATAAAAAGCTTCATACCACAGGGGTATATGTGCACCCATGTTTATAGTGGAACAGTTTGTAATAGCGAAGCCCTAGAAACAGCCAAATTCCCATCAGCTGTGAATGGGTAAAGAAGATGGGGGTTTTTAAAAAAAAATAATGCAGTACTATTCACTCATAAAGAAGGATAAACTTGAGACATTTATACTACATAGTTTAAGGCCGGCCTGTACTACGTTGTGAGACTCTGTCTCAAAAAACCAAAAAAACCCTTTTTTTTTGGTTGCAAATTGATTGGCCAGCAGACCTTAAATTTATGTGGTACTATTCTGAATTCTTACCAGTCTTTTTCAGTGGGAATAATCATACATGATCTGCAGAATTATTAGTGGTTTTGATTATAGGATGCTGGCTAAGATCCTGATGATGTTGTCATATAATCATGTAAAGTTTCTATTTTTTCTAATCTGAAAAATTGTACTTCTGAAACATTTCTGATTCCAGAGATTTCAGATATTTTGAACCTACCCTGAGCTGCTTGGAAGATTGAAGAACTAGGGCGGCTGGAGTCAAATCTTAGGATAGCCAAGCCTCTGACTGCCTTTTTTAGCCTCATCTTCTGTTGCTCTACAGATTTAGAAAGATCTAAATAATGCCTGTGTACACCCTCTTTCCATGGTCTTATTGTCTTGGTTACTTTTCTTTCCTTGCTGAGACAAAATACCTGATGCCCAAAATTAAGGAAGGAACGGTTTATTTAGCTTACAGTTTGTGGAGGTTTCAGTCTATACTTGGCTAGCTCTGAGGCAGAGTGGCACATGGCAGAGGGCAAACCTTCAGGGAGGCAGAACACAGCAAAAACAAAAGCAAAAGGGAGGAATGGCCACAAGCAGCCTGTTTCCCTCCCTTACATCGTAAACAGGCTACCCCCACCTAAGGCGTTTGTAGCTCTCACATAATCTCCCTGTGCTCCTCTTGCACAGGCTCAGGATGTATACAAAGTAAGCACCCTGGCTCCTTGCTGAGTCACTTAGCCAAACCTCTAGACTCCTCAAGTTGACACAATGTATCAACCGTAACAATCTACCCCTTGGCTACTTGGGAACCAGACACATTTTTTAAAATCAGTTTCCAGATACAAAGACATGCTACTGCATTAGAACCATAACATTTCCCCCCCCCAAAGACTCACACACATAGCTTTATGCAAAAGGCATTTAGTCCTGCAAGAGTTGCCAAAGTCCTAACAGTTTTAGCATTGCTGAAAAGTACAAGGCCCAAGTCTCCTCCAAGATGTAAGGCAAACTCTTTAGTTACAAACCCCAGTACAAATGAAAAGTTAAACACTTAAAACATTCAATGACACGAGATAAACATTACCATTCCAAAAGGTACAAATGGGGATACAGAACATTGGGACCAAAGCAAATCCAAAATCCAGCAGGACTGCTAGGCATGGTGGTGCACGCCTATAATCCGAGCACTTGGGAGGCTGAGGCAGGAGGATCCTTGCGAGTTCAAGACCAGCCTGGGCTACAAAGTGAGCTCAAGGCCAGCCTGAACTGCATAGTGAGACCCTGTCTCAAAAAGACAACAAAACAAAACAAAATCCAGCAGGGCTAACATTATGTCCTGTAGTTCCATGTCCAGCTTCTGAAGCAATCTGTGGCACATTGTGAGCTCCAGAGGGCTTACATGAGTCTACCCTTACGGCACTTCTGGTGGTTACAGCGTCCATGGCTTCTCTCTGAGGCCTGCTTTGCTCCCTCCTTGCAGCTTTCCTTAGAAGATCCATGGTCCTGGCTTTTCTAAACTTCTGAGGTCTCCAGGGCACCTTTTGCTTAACACTCACAGC